GATTTGGGCTTCCAGAATAAGGCACATATGAATAATGTAGACTGGCTATGGGTATCTCATTATTAAACTCTTAAATTCCATGTCTGTGTACCTTTGTAAGAATCTTCATCAGATATTCAATTACATTACGTTTCATAACCCCATTGATGGTGGTAAGCATTTCAAATGTAGGTAAAGGAGTTAACATGGCAATTCACTGTCTAATTCGAACCTTAAAACAATTTTATTCGTTAGAAATTCGCCAGTGCACCAGCATTAAATCTTGTCACTAATTTATATTTTCAAGGATGTCCAAAACAATAAGAAGCCTTGATTTACTTACTTGTTTGCCCACAAATAACAATACGGTAGAATTTTTATGTAAATAATCATTAGAAGTTTTGAATTATTTTTATTCATTTTGTTTTCACAAATTTTATTTTCTTAAGTTTTTATAATTTTATTTTTCAGAATTTTTTTAATTTTTTTTAGAATTTTAGACACTATTTTTTCAAATTTTTTATTTTTTTATTTCTCATTATTCCAATTTTTTATTTTTTTTTTAGAATTTTATTTAAACGATTGTTTTTTATGTCTTGAGTGTTTTCAAAAATTTATGTTATAAGTTTAGAAGGTGTTTGGTAGAGATAAAAATCGGATTAAAATTGAAAAACTAGTCGTTATTGTTGACTTTTATTTGATGAATAGGACCCAATAACGGCTATATTTTCAATTTTAATTGAATATTGAGCCGTACCGAACAATCCCTTGTTTTCGAAAATGCACATCAGATAAGTTTTACGTGTTTTGCAAAATTGAAAACTAAAAACAATTTGAAAGTAGCAAATCAAACGCAACCTAAGCAACGGGAAGGAAAAATTAAGACTTTATTTGTTTTAAATCCAATTAAGTAAACATCCTAGAATTACCAAAAAAACAGCAAATCAAACGCATCATAATCATGCATGCTCAAAGTAACTCAAAAGTAGATGAAGAACAAAACAAATCACCTTCATTCGGATGCGTCAGTTGGCTATCTGCTCCTCCTATAAGCACCAAACACCAGCATAAACACTCAATTAAACTGAGAGTTGGCTGGGACCTCTCAAGAACGCCCATTTTTCCAAGATTGTCAAATGTCTTAACACTTGTCTCCCACCTTATAAATCAACAAAAATGAAATTTAAAAAAAAAACAGAAGAACACCTCTAAGAAGCTGAAAGGAGTAAACAAAGAACAGACAAAGAAAGAACATTGAATACAAAAGAATGAGTTACACGACCCAATATTCTAACAAAACAAATACGAAGAACTATAAAACATTCTTAACAACAAAAGGGGCCGCCAAGAAAATAGAATAATATGGAACATGAATTTGTACGGACTACTTACAGGCGCTGCAGATATTTTACGGTCTGAAAAATGGGCTTAGAATTTTACAAATCCGGAGGTTTTGCAGTAAAATTGGGTTGACCTGGTCGCCATTGGAAGGTGTCAAAGATGAGTAGATTGATGAATTTTGATGGCGAGGATGATGAGGACAGCAGCCATTTTTTTCAAATATTGATATTGAATTGAATGCACAAAACATTGCTCGCCATTTTACATCATTTAATTTGATGGAACTGTTTTATTGACTTTTGCTGCATTTGCAGTTGAACGCCATTAATTAATTAATTAATTATGAGCACGACGATAATGAAATATTAAAGGAGGGAAGAGGAATATTCTCAGATCACTGTTCATGTTCAATAATTGGTTAAATAAATTATCGAGGATTTCGAAGGGATTGAAAGGGACACGCTACAACATAATGGTTGACTTAATTTCACGTAACATTTTGATTTAAAGAAAGTCAACTTTCTTATCGAATCATCTGTTGCCGACTGAGATTATATCACCGCATTTGTTATAATTTTTCTGTCAAAGGAGGGTTTGTGTGTTTCATCAGGAAACTTTTTTAATGGGAAAACCGACTAAAGCTTTGATTTTTATTCTTTTATTTCAATTTCAACTATGGACACATATTCAACTTTAAGAAGTTTATTTTTTGCAACTTTGATTGATGTCCAAAAGTTTTAAATAACGCGTTTATGACAATTATTTAACAATACGCCCCTATGTGTCTATCATTATTTCTAATTTCTTTATTTCTCAAATTCATTTTCTATCGCACATTTTCACGATAAAAATATTTTACACTTAAATAAAAAAGCTTGTCCTGCTTTTTAAAGATACATTCTCCAAAACTCGTTCGCTTACTTT